CTTGTAATTTACAGCCAATACAAATATTCACTAAATGCCAAGTTGCATATTGAACAATTGCACCTTCTATAAATAAATAATCTTTAAATTTCTACGTAGTTCCAAAGATTGCAAATCGGACATTTTTCTGTAGATGACGAGCCCCAGGAAAGTCGACCTGAATTTTTCACTAATGACGTAACTGTAGCTCTGGTGAAGTCCAAAATTGACGAGGACCCACGATTTGCACAAGAAAGGATTGCTAATGAATTGAGCTTGAATACCATGACTGTATCGCAAAAATTAGGTAATTATCTAGGATACACGATGAAATCTGCTCGATGGATACCACGAATTATAAATGAGACCCAAAGAGAGGCTCGAGCGCATTTTGCTCAATTCTTCCCCAAAAAAAAAAATTCGAAAATTTTCAGTCTAGCAATTTTAGTAATGTCGTTACTGCCGGCGAATCTTGGTTCTACAAGTACGATTTAGAAACCAAAGAGCAGTCTATGGTATGGAGCCCAAAAGGAGCAATAAAAATCAGCAGCCAAAGTAATGATGTCAGTTTACTTCACCCGATCTGAAATCCTAGCTGCTCCTTCACTGGAAAAGGGTCAGTTTTAAAAAGTTTGTTGGAAAACAGGCAGAAAGAGAATTTGCAGCGCCAATTTTTACATCATGACAATGCGTCATTCCAAACTGCTAAAATAACGCGTCATTTTATTGCGATCTGTGAGATCGAATGAATACGTCCGGCACCATATTCGCCGGATGAAGAACCTTGTGATTGCTAGTTATTTCCAAAAATAAAAAAAATTATAAGGAAAGGTCTTTAATAGCAACGAGGAGTTAATTAATGCGGTTAATGCTGAAGTTGATAAGTTTCAAAAGCAAGATTTCGAAGACTGTTTCCAGTAGTGGATCTGTGGGCTTAAGAAATACATTGAAATCAATGGCGATCATTTAGAGAAGATCAAAAAGGACAAAAATTACGTATAAATACAAAAAAAAAATTTTTTTTTGTTTTCTTCAACTTACCGAACTTTTGTTAATCCCCTCATATGTACATGCACATATACATATGTACATATTTTTTAGTACATAAAACAAGTGTATATACATAAATAAAAGGAATAACTTTCCTCATGATGTATAAATATATTTTTAAAAATTTTTTTTTCCACCCCCAAGGATACGAATTTCCTCTAAGAATTATAAGTTTTGACTATTTCCCAATAAACCCTCAACTTATTATTTCGTGAGTTTGTATATTTAATCAATTGCAGAGAACTCTTTCCACTCAATGATGTTTTTGTGGGTGGGGAATGTTATCCGTCATTACTGGCATACCGACATACTGGGACACAACAACAACAACAACAACAACAACAACAGTATCATACACATGAGCATAACATACATTTTCCACCTGCCTAACAATATTATCTATGTATGTATGTAGGTGCCTAGGTCCGTTGCATGTAAGTGGCTTCGTATCTTTACTCTCTTTTACGTTTTAGAAATTCGCATCAATTGCGCAGCGAATTATTATTCACGTTATTATTGTTCTTATGGACTGTTAGTCGCACAAGTCAAAGATATGACACACGTGAATGCGCATAAAAGCAATAACAATAATTATATCTAAATGTATGTGTGTATATGTATATGTATGTACATCGTTTATGCATTATCTGCGATACCATAATAATAATTGCAACGAAATCTTACGTACACATGAACATACATATGTATAAGCACAAAAGGTCATTTTATTCAATATTATTAAGGTGTTGCTTTTGTTGTTGTAACGGCTTGCTAACCCCGTTTAGGAATTGGCTAGATCAGTCGATTTCATCAAAGTCACCTAACGGAGATCTAGGAAACAGGCTGTTGCGACGGCTTCGGACCAGAATGAATGGGCGGGGAGGGGGTTTGATCAGTTGGTTTTAGGGGGCGTTCCAAGATGTGGTTAGTGTCTTGCTGGGACCCATTGGTCATACGTTAGGTATATTGGGATCAACTCTGGATAAATATGAGTTTGCTCTACTACCATATTCAGTTATAAGTTTCGGCAAGACTTCGCGGGACCCTCGAGGCAGCTGGAGCTATTCATCTGCAATGATTTGTGGTTTGACTCCGAGCATGCCATTCCCAGTAAGTAAAACCGGTTGTTGTTGTAGTCTAAATCATCGATGTCATCTAACGGGAGATTCAAGAAATGAGCTGTTTCGTCGTGTTCCGACCAAAGAGAAACGGGGCTTAGATGTGTTGGTAGAAGGTATGCAAAGACGTGGTTAGTGTCGTGCGGGGACTCGTTAAATGCAGGGCATACGTTACGTATAGCGGGGTCGAGTCTAGGTAGGTAGGTACAAATTCAGATTTAAGTTGCGTCAGTATTACGCGGGACTCTCGAGGCGGCTATTGATGGTTGTTTGACTACGAGGATATTGGCTCACTTCTTGTGAATGCCTGTACCCTGTGCTGTGCTGAAAGCAGTCCGTTAAGTCTAGTACTCCCTTCCTGATCTGCCTGGCTGATGGTTTTGCCTCTAATAAGTGTTTTTTTGGGAGCCCCTTCGGCAACATTTTAGCAGAAATTGCTTGCACATGAGAGCATTATGCTCCTTAATTCATAGCATAGATGCTTCGCTGTGCTACTGATGCTCAGGTGAAATCAATATGTTTCCAGTCACTGTCCTGTGGGCGATGTTTTGGCAGTCTGGTAACTTCTTCAACTGCATCTCCTTCGGTGCAGCATAGTTTACGACCGACCGGCTAATTCCTTTGTACGTTGCCAGCAAAGTTTTTTTATATTATATTTTTTCCAGACCCTGCCGGCTAGCGATTGAAGGTTCTGGTGTTTTGCGACAGTTGCGGTCGTATGCCGAGTACAGGTTTCCGAATTTGACTCCCAGTAACTTTGGGTTGTTTTTAATTGAAATTTTGACGCCATCGACTTTTTCGTCCGATGATTTTGTCGATTGTACTTTCAGATGCCTTGCGGTGAAGAAGTGGGAATATAGCAGTTTATCGAGCAAACATCGGCATATAAAATCAGATATTCGGCTGACGCGAGAGTTGGTTGTTTACCACGGCGGGTTAGGGTTTCAAGAGTTTACCTGCGGTAAGTCATGCCTGTCGTAAGAGGCGACTAAAATCCAAAAATTTCCCGCGACAATCGGGTCTTTATAACGGAACGACCCAGATATTTTATTCGGCCAAAAACTGTCACTCTCGCAATATTTCTTTGAGGAATATTTTTGCGGTTACAACAACAATACCAGCAGCAGCAGAGTTGGCTATTGTAAACTCTTTCAAAACCATTTGTAAAATTTAAAATAGTCCAACAAGTTTATCATAAAATATTTTGGGATGTTTGATGATCTGAGGGAATTCCCAACATCAGGTGAAATGCTCTACCTACATACATTTATTATTATGCTCCTCTCCTAGTGGGTTGCAGCTTTGCATACATACATAAGTGTAATTATTTATAATTAAGACATTCATATAATTTCATACTTGAACTCTTGACACAACATTCTATACCGAAATTCTATCACCCATTATCTCGCGGTGTTGTCAAAAATTTGTAATGTTAAAAACATGTTAAGCCTTTCTTTTAAACGTCCTCCCACAAATCATCGAATTTTTTGCAGATATTTTTGTTTTAACATCGTGCCATAAAGTTTCTATTGGGTTTAGGTCTGGGCTTTGCACAGGCCAATCCAAAAAACGAATATTTTCCTTCTTAAGCCAATCTTGTGTGACCTTCGCGATATGCTTAGGATCACTATTCTGCATAAAAGTCCAATTAAGTGGCATGGGGTCAAATACAAATCGTTCCATTTCACTCTTTAAGATGTCCAGATATTGATATTTGTCAATTTTTCCATTTATCCGCACAATTGGTCCAACGCCATGCCAGGAAATTGTCCCTCAAATCATTATATTACCGCCTATATGTTTTATGGTCTTTTTATTGTACCTAGGATTTAAAACTTGACCTCTTTGGCGATGAAATGTGGTTTTCCCATCCGGTTCCATCCTATTTATTTTAGTTTCATCGGTCCATAACATATTATTCCAAAATCTTATCGCCCTGTTCTCAGGCGTCTAAGCAAACTTTAGCCGTTTTTCTATATGCCGTTTTGACAGGAGTGGTTTTTTGCGGGTATTGCTTCCAAAGAGCTGGGTCTTATTTAAACGCCTTCCGACATGGCTTCTTCATATAGTCAAATCGAATTCTTCGTTTATTTTCAGCATTTTTTGCCTAGAAAATTTAAAAGGATCTAGCTTCTTTTTTCGTATTTTGACTCTGTCTTCAAAAATCATTGTATTGCGCGGAGCACGTGCCTTGGATTTGTTTTGAGATAGATAATCTTCACTCTCTTGAACCAGTTTAAAGACATTATGTACTATTTTACGGGAATAATTCCAGAAAACTGCAATTTCTGAAACACTTTTCCCTGTCTTAGACATTTTAAGAACAATGATTCTTTTTTAAGGAGAACAGTGTTTACCGCAACCCATTTTAGTTCAATCTGCGTAAATTTTAATAGAACTGAACTTTAAATGTATTTAAATTTCACTAAAAATAAATAAAAAGATACTTTCAAGATCCAACCGATGACTGTGCCATTTGCGTGACCACCATTAACAAATAGCACGATCAGATAAATCGACGAAAAAAATATGATTGCTAGGATATCGGGAATGTACGAAACGCATTGTAAACTAGATAACATAAGTAACTATTATACATTTTTTATTCAGAAAAATACCGTTATGTTCCTCAGAAGAGTTACATTTTCTCGTATGATATACTTTGTGCTATTTGCGTGACCATGGCTGTAAATTTGGTAGGTATAAATTGGTAAATATTAAAAAATTCATAATTTGTTCTTATAACCTCAAATTTAGAAAAAAAAATCAATTTCTAATTATATTTACTAACTATAATTCTTATATATAACATACATAAGTAAGTATATAAAGGTACACAATTTTGCTTACCTTTAGAACGGTACTTGGTTCTGTTTGGATACCGCCAACTAAAGGCCATAACTGCAGCTACTTTGTAGTTCTTTCTTTGCAAATGTTAAAAAAGCTGCCAATTATGGTCTTCACGACATATGCTGCCTTAATCAAAATATTGTTGTTACAATTTTCGTTTAGTAGGAAATTAATTTCAAAAAAACAAAATAAAGGCTAATATTATTTTACACAGTTTTTGGACTTATTATTATTTTCATTTCATATTTTTATAAGCCTCCACTTTCACATACACACATACATATATACATATGTAAATATGTAATTAAATAAAGAAATGCATCAAGCATACCAGGCGTGTCATTTTTAAGACATATTCGGAGCACATCGCACATTAATGTTCCAATTATTGTATTATTGTATTGTATATTAAATTGATCAATTTACACTTTTATTTCATCATATTAGTTGCGTACTTTCACTTCCATATTACACATTTAAACATACTATTTTTCGGTTGTAGTTTATTGGAGTATTCACCTCGCCACTGAAAATGGCTCTTAGCAATTCTTCGATTTTTACCAATTCTGTATATTTCTTAGTTATCTGTAATAAAGAATATTCCGGTAACATGGTAGGTAATAAACAAATTTTATTAGCATAAGTGAAGAATGGCAAAAACTTAAATTAATTTCAAATACACACTAGTAATGCAAATTAATAGTTTCTTATAATTTTGCTAGCGCACTGTGTCTTATACATCTCGTCTATGTTTGTATATATGGCCTGCATACTATGTATTTTCCATCACCTTGTATCTATTGTACATATATATGTATGTGCATACCTACATATTAGTGTAGTGCAACAGTATGTGGAGATGTAGCAGAAGAGCGGAAAGTAGATACGTTCATATTGGCCAATTTACTGTAGCATCCACTACACTATTACTATATATTCATTCAATAATGTGAAAAACTACAAAGTACTATAAAAAACGAGAGCGCAACCGTGGAGAAACCGAAAGAAAGTCGTGTGGTAACATGGCTTAGATGCTTGCACCATCTCACTAACAACATCCCGCCCAGTTGACTGCAAATGCAATGTATGCACTATATTTTAAGTATTGCTGGTAAATTACTATTGGAATTATTTAATTCATAAATGGCAATATGATGGATATTAAAAACTACACTTCTTGGTTAAGAGATATTATATATTTTACTTTATTTAATATTTAGCTGTTTGGGTTATTAAAACAAAAACATTGGTTTTTAGCAAAAGAGCATGATAAAAATATTATTCAAAAGAGAATGTGCAATCAAATAAATGCAAAAAAAAAATCAATTAAAAAAAATTAAACCAACTTAAAACATAAGTAAATAATCATTTCACTTAACAAATGCACTGTATCATTCCTAAGTTCACTTCTTATATTCGTCGCTCAGCTATTTATTGTAAATTTGCATTGTTGACGCATAAAAAAAATGAAAATTTTTTCAATTTTTAATTCAAACTATTCTTTTATTTTTATTTATAATTTTACTATCTTCCTTTTTTTGGTAGAAAATTTGTAGTTTCCCCTAATTACGTAGGACGGCAACTCCAAGTGTTTTAGTCGCATTTCAGTCGGCGCACTCACTTCATGTCCGGCATCGTATAAAATAGAGCGCACTCGTTTACTCACACTGCGAGTAAACTCATGCCATTGATTTCTTTTGTTTCTATTCGCATGACAACGCCGCGAACGCTGGCGTTCTCAATAGCGCGGCGCCGACCGCTACCACTATTGTACACTTATGGCTGCACCGGCAGTGGCAGCATTTTCCACGCTACTTTTCATATTCTATTTTAATTTCATATCAACCATCATGAACGTTTCACATTTCAATACAAAAAAAAAGAGCTTTAGCAAATTCACAAATTCTTTTACCACTTAAACCTCCAAATATGTTGATTTATTTGCATTATGCCCGAACAATTCGTTATTCAGCTCAATAAACTAGACAATTGCGTAGAGATTCACTACTATTTATGATGACATGAGGTAGCGTAGACAACGTCTGCTACGTCGAGGGCGCAGCGAGGCCTAACGCCGTCCACATTAACATTTTTCGATAACATTTCACACTATTTCGTCTTCTGCTCTGCTTCTATTTCGACTTTTTTTTCAATTTAATTGTCATATTTACCACTTCTCTTATTTCCTAACTCACATTACACTTTATCATTTAAAATGTCATTAAAGAGATAAAATAAGTTTCATCTAAAATTTAAGCTCAAACATTAACTTTTCAACACCACAATATGCGTTACCATTCCAATTTTATCCCATTTGTATTTTTTGAACTTTTAGATTTTGCGCATCAATTCCTTTTAATAATTTCACTTTAGTTTTTTCGAATGTAGTGAAATTTTGCAAAGCCTCCCGACATCCCTCGGTATGGCTTGACAGACACACTCGTTCCAATCACTCGCTCGTTTCCATACGCTTTTTTATTTCGACGGAGAGGTTTTTATCTCTGAAATTCACTGAACTCACCAATCAAATTTTTCCATTCATTTGACACATAATTTTCAAAAATTTTTTATTTCGTATTCATTAATTAGAAACAAAATGTATAATAATACTTTACTTTTTCTTTTTCTCGGTACGCACAGAATGGTCTGCGCTGCGTTAGTTATCATCGGTTTGACATTTATTGTTCTCTGCTACTTATTTGTAACCAATATAGCCATATCTTCACATATATGAAATAATCGAAAAACTATCGAAATGAGTATTGATGCAACCAAAGAACGTATATGAATACGTTATTTTAAAGAACGTATAATAATATATAGGGAAAAGAATTCTGAACTAATGCGGAATTTTTCGTTGAGATGAGCAGTGAAAAGAAAGCCCAAAGAAGGCATAATGAACAGTTCACTGCTCGTTTGCCTCTTATTAATATACGTTCTTTGACTTTTGATTAATATACGTTCTTTGAATATACGTTCTTAGGTTTAATTTAAAGGAACTAATTGTGAATATCAAGTTTATTGTGAACGAAAAAACGTAATTTATATTATTGCAAGTTTCCTGATATCAAAACAAAATTGTAAAAATACTATCAAACGAAACAAAACGAAGTTTATTCGTAAATTTTTGCACAAAGAAAGCTTGTGTATCTTTTTTGTTGTGGAAAAATGCGGAAAAAGTGAAAATTGCGGCATTAAAGTTACAGAGTATTTACATATATGGATGAATATAATTCTGCCCCGCCTATCGCGGCAGCAAATGGAGATCCTGCTATGCAAACAAGACAAGTAGTACTTCAAAAATATATAATTGCGTTACGACATTTCCGCTGTATAGCTGAAAAATCATTCCATGTACGTCCACTTTATTTTGACAACTACCTACTTTGGCAATATTTTCAACAACGCAGCACGATTGAAGTAGAAAATGAATTGAACATTAGGAATTATTCAACACCATCATCTTTAGCATTTCTGAAACTTGAAGTGCTCAGTCAAATCCTCGATCGCCGTCGCCAAATTCTTTATTGGCTATTTTACCTAATTCTAGTTTCACTATGTGTGTTTGCCTATAAACACCGCTGTGACTCACTATCATCTGATACAACATCATCATCATCTACAGGACATGGTGTTCATTCTTTTGTTTACCCAAGTATGCGAATTTGGCGTCGTATTACACTGCCATTGATACAACGTTTTCCGCGACTTACCGAACTGTATGATGAGTCGTGCCTAATGCAAAACCCATTCTTCCAAGGGGTCGATGCACTTAGCTGCGATCCCTGTTCGAATGTACAGAGTGTTCTTGATTTGACTACACAGGAGGCAAGTCCAGCTGAAGGATTTAATATTTCTCAACAGGATAAGAGCAGTAAAACTAATGAAATGCCGAACGAGTTTGTGCCTTTTGTATTTAAGGTAATATTTAGAATCATAAATATGTTTTAATATTAATTGACATATTCCTTTTGTAGATAAAACAAAATCCCATTCATTTGGAAGATATATACGATCTTTATGCAAGCAATCATGATATTTTTAGGAGGGATGCGTATAGGGTACAGTCGACTGTTCGGGATGTCACCAATATCGAGGAGCTTTTTAGTAAGTTCAGTTACTCACGACTCAAAGGAAATACACCGCATACAATAGAGGCACATAATATGTGGCGTTGCAATCGTATGTTACCCGCCCGTTTACTACGTAAACTTTTCGTTAGTCCGACAATGCGTCTACCCCGCGCAAGTTTAGCGCTTGAACGATACGTGGCCATCGATACAGCACAAGCACCTGCATACACTTTGCCCGACACGCAATGTGCAAATGTATTCGTACAACAAGCACTCGGGACAAGGTATATTTTTCTGCGTCCAACAAGCGAATGTCGTCATCGCTGCCGCACATTATCTTTACGTTTACCACAATCTTTCGTGCGTAAGTAAAGTGAAAAAATTTAAAAATAATAATAATAAATGCTGGAAATATTAATGTATTCTCTTCTAATTTATTGCAGTTAGCTACAATTGGCTTTATTGGAAACCAATATCTGCACCCGATCCTATTGCCGATTCTTTTTCAATTACACTAATTGGATCTTACTGTTAACATCTGAAACTATATTCTAGTAAACAATTAAAATGGTGTGGTAAAATCTCGCATAGAAATATTATTCCATCGCAACGAACGTTAGTAGGATATTATGATTACACCATTCATTTTCAATCTTTCAACTAATCTATATTTACCATATAACACCAATAAATCTTCATTAAACCATATATTTTGAAATAACTAGAATATAATAACGGACTATTAGTGAGCAAAATTTTAAATGTTCCCCTTGTATAATCCTGTTAGTACAAGTCAATAGTATTCTTGGTCGCATGAATGTGTTCAATAAGATTAGACAATATGCTCAATTAATCTTTAAAGAATTCCATTTAATATATGTGTGCCAAAATTTTCCGATTATTCTCGCCAAATATTGATACGTATAAGACCCAATTATTTATATATTGAATAAATATGTGTATGAATACATGGCTGCTCGTTTCGTATTGGAATAATGTCTACGATATTAAAAGAAAATGCTAGTCATATATTACTTGCATTTAATTAAAGAAATCGATTATTTTTTCTTACATTTAGGTATTTTATTTTTAATTTTTTATTTCCATTACCGATAACTTTGTACTGCATTTATACGTGTTAATATTATTTTAAAAGTTTATATACTCTTAGATATGACATGACAAGTTTTGTAATGAAAAACAGTTTTATTTTACAATTAAACATTTAAAATACTCGGAGAATTTTTATTTCTTTAGACTACCATGTATGCCTGGTCCTTTTAAAATACATATACATTTTTAATTGTGGTGAAAAAAATTAAACCATATTAAAGATTTATGAACACATTTAAAATTAGCGATTTTTTCAGTTTTTAAAATTGAATATTTCTTTAGTATTTGATTTTGCATTAACCTGTGAATGCCTTGAAGTTATATAAGTATGTTCATTGAGGTCTTTTGAATTTCCTTAGCAAAATTATACAAACTTAAGTAGATATCAAATATAGGTTGTCAAATATCTCCCTTCCGCTTTTTTCTTCATTCAATGCTTTATAAAAAGTGTTACAGTGATCGGATTTAGTTAAAATATGCGCCGTTTTGTTCGATGATCTGTTTCCATCTAGACGGCAACTTCATAATACCTTCCTCGTAGAAGCCCCTCTCCTTATTTGCGAAGAATTCGGACAGCCACTTTTCACAAGCCTCTTTTGAGTTCAACTTCACACCACCAAGGGCATACGCCATGGACAGAAACAGGTGGTAATCACTTGGCGCTACGTCCGGGCTATATGGTGGATGCGATAAAACCTCCCATCCAAGCTCCCGTAGCTTCTGACGAGTCATCAACGATGTGTGTGGTCTGGCGTTGTCCTGGTGGAACACTACACTCTTCTTGTCGGCCAATTCCGGACGCTTCTGGTCGATCGCCTGCTTCAAGCGGTCCAGTTGTTCGCAGAAGATGGTAGAATCAAGCGTCTGGCCATATGTGAGCAGCTCATAGTGGATGATTCCCTTCCAATCCCACCAAACACACAGCAAAACCTTCCTGGCCGTCAATCCCGGCTTGCCCACTGCTTGTAACGATTCATCGTCCTCCGACCAGGACCGTTCTCGCTTGATATTATCGTATGTGATCCATTTTACGTCACCAGTCACCATCCGCTTCAAGAATGGGTCGAGTTCGTTCCGTTTCAGCAGCATATCGCAGGCGTTGATTCGGTCCAGAAGTTTTTTTTGCGTCAAATTATGCGGCACCCAAACATCAAACTTTTTTTTGTATCCAGCCTTCTGCAGATGGTTCAAAATGGTTTGGTGACTAACTCCCATCTCCTGGGCGATGTCACGAGATGCCATATGCCGGTCTAACGCGATGTATTCCATGACTTGATTGGTATTTGTCGTCACAGGTCTTCCGCCGGCTGGCTTATCCATGGTGTCGTTTTCACCGGCTCTGAATCGTCGAAACCATTCCTCCGCGGTTCGAAGTGATAGAGTACCATCCCCCAAAACACCATTAATCTCACGGAACGAAGGAAAACTTTAAAATAGCGCGAATTTCGGCGTTAGTGAAATCCATGTTCACACGTCTATAACTGTTGACAAAGATGACACTGTTGAAAGCAATATCCAAACTAATCATGCATAGCGTTGTTTTGTAGGGTACGTCAAGGCTTTCAAATTATGTATTGTGTTGCCAGATACGAGCTTTGTAGCGCTTTCTACATAGACGCGAAATTCAAAAAACAAAAAAGCGGAAGGGAGATATTTGACAACCTAGCAGCGGTTCGCTGAGCTTTTAGCTACAGCTCTTCTGTTTCATTTAGTAAAATTGTCTCTGGCTGATATTAATGCCTCGTAGTTATTTTCTCCCTTCGATTCTATACTTCTTCCTTTTGGGATCTGTGCAGTCTTACGCATAATTTTCCTGAAGTTGTATGACTTAGATAGCGCATTTCCTGCTGGACTATCTTTGTGAAATGCACATAAATTAAAATTTATATTCAAAAATAATTTTTATGAAATGTAGCGGTTTATGTACGCCCAAAAGTCTTCGAAATTCACAAAGCCTGAAAAGACAAGTATGCACTTGTACCTTTAAAGCGAAATAAAATTCGATTATAGTCTCCAACTACTTTTTTGAGCTAAAATAAACTTTTCTTATGTATGGCAACGTCCGCCTTTGGCAAGAGTTTGTATTGCATTTCATAGTTATTGTTTTACTAAAAATATATATAAATTTTTAATTATATTACTGAAATTATTCGAAAGCAGTGGTAATGTCATTGTTAACAAAGGATAATGCTAAGGAGCACTGTCGTACTTGTTTAAAAAGACTTAGCAATATTGCAGAATTTTCATCCGAAGCAGATGATACACCAGATAATAAGGAATTGCAATTTAACATTAGCAGCGACGTAGAATTGAGGCAGCTTATATCTATTTATGAGGATGATCCTTGTAATAATAATTTTCCAGAAAATGTATGCCTTGCCTGCTACAACAAGCTCCACAGTTTCGTTTTGTTCCGTAAAAAGGCACTGCAAAATGCGGAAAAATTACGCACAGTACTTAATTGTAGCAGTGGCATGATAAAAGTTGAAATAACTTATGATGAAGACGAGAGTGAGCCTTGCAATGAACCGGTGTTACCTCCAGCTCGGGATAACAAGCAACAAGTAAGATTTTTACATTAAATATAACAGCATTTAAACCAAGTATTTAGTTTAAGGATGCCCTCATGGAAAACGAGGAAGTATTTTTCGAAACATCGGCTGAAAACATGGCAGATGAAGAACTAAATGATGATGAAGGTGATCCATTTGCTCCATCAGCACCAGTAATACCAGAGTGCACTGTCGATCAAAGCGTGGAAAAAGTAAAAAATTCGACGATACATGCAACGAAATTAGTTAAAAAGCATAAATATAAATGTTCGCAGTGTAACCAAAGTTATGCATTTAATTCAGAGTTAGAAGCCCATGTACGACAAGTGCACGATGCTAACAAAATGCCATTTTCTTGTAGTCATTGTGACAAAGCTTATCGATATATTCGTAGCTTGCAGGAGCATATGAAGCAAAAGCATCAAGCAGTACTAAACGCACATGCACACTTTAAGTGTAGTGTTTGTCCCAAGGCGTTTATCTCCGAGTTATCCTTAAAAAAACATATGTGTTTTCATATTAAAGAAGATATGGCTCGGGTGTGTGGTATTTGTAGTAAGCGATTCCCCGTAAAAAATTTGTTAGTAGAACATTTACGCACTCATTCCAACGATGGAAGGATCCCTTGCGGTCAGTGTGATAAAAGTTTTCTGTGGTATCAAGATCTTTTGAATCACGAACGATCGTCGCATCTCAAAGAAAAACCATTTCCTTGCAAACTTTGCGATAAATCATTCCAAACACAGAAGTCCCTACGCTTCCACAGTTACCGTCACTCTGGCGAAAAACCATATCTTTGTGACGTTTGTGGGAAGGACTTCAGACAGCCAACAGCCATGAAACAACACCGGCTTAAACATTTTAAAATTGATAAAGATACATAAATATCATTCTGAATTACAGTTGGTTGAGTTTATTTGATGTTTTATCTGAAAGTATTTGGCGACCGCCGTAGCCGAGTATATTTCTATACAAATTGTAGGAGGAGCTCGGTCGAAAATCACTTCAGCCGTTACAAAGCGCCAATTATATTTATATTTTAATCAACAATTAAATAATAACAGAATAATTATTTAAGTTTATGGAATATGTTTATAAAATTTAAGTTTCTGTATCTCTTAGTTTCTATATTATTTAAAACGTCGGTCTTAACAAATACCAGAAGATAATAGTAGTATCGTTAATAAATTTATCTTCAAAAATTTGTTTGATGTTATTTATAAAAATTATGTAATAACCAAATAACCGATTAAAAATTTGAAAATACTGTTTTCAAAGAAGTTCGAGGGTACTTCCATAAATTTGTTTAAGTTTTGTTAATATTACATTACATTTATTCGAATGGTAGAAAAACCTTATAATCTTTCGCTGTTGACACCCCACCTCCAGAAATCCAACCATCCACTTTCAAAGAGTGATGTTAAAAGAGGTTAATTCGTTTGTCTAGTTAATAACATTAAAACAAGGTAAAAATATAAATTACCTTGTTTAAATCTCGGTAAATGTTGTAAAATTTATTTATTATATAGTTATTACTTTCAAATATTTTAACCTCTTCAAAAAAGGGTATAAAAAATGTTTGTGTTAATTATTTATGATATCTACAAAATCTTGCAAAGATAAGAATTTTAAAATAACGTTTTTTGTTTTTTTAAAAGGTTAAATATTTAAACAATAGATTTCCATAACAATATTTATTAAATGATGAATAATGTAATCATCAGACAAAGTCATGCACTGATGGCTAACTAAGGCGAATTCGCAGAACTAATTCGCCTTGGTTGTAAATAAACAAACATTGGGTTTTTAGTTGCATATTAACATTGTTCAAAACTCTAACAATTGGAAAATGTGGGTTTTAACCAGACATAATATTAAGCAACATTGTCGAACATGTCTGAAAAAATTAAAGATGCAAAATGTGAATTCATTACCGCCACTTAGAGATGATGAAGAATACATATCTGAGCATAAAGACTTTGGCATCGACATTGCTGATAATGGAATAATTAAACTAGCTATTGCACTGTGTTTGGATGATGGTTGGACTTTGCAAAAAACTGAGGCGGTCCATAAAGAATATCCTGAATGTATATGTATACCCTGCTATAAAAACGTACATAGCATAATTTTGTTCCGACAACAGGTAAAGAGATCTACAGAAATGCTGCAGGATCTACTTTGTGAACGAGCTGATAAATTTGAAATTGGTGATATTGAAGATGGCGACGTTATAGAAAAAGGCACAGGAAGCGGCGATGTCTTTAATTTATTGGTAAAAATTGAAAAAATACCTATATATATTATATATACTACTAGTGTTAAGTACCAGATTTCAGTCTTTAAGGTCTATTGCATTCTCTTTTGTAACTGTCACGATTCAACTTTCACTTCCCACCATACTAACTGTATCTATTAATCTACATTTCTATATAAGTTAACAAATATTTTTAATTTTAGTTTTCTCTAAAAATTTCCAGCTCAAAGATACTCTTATGGAAACTGAATCAGTTATGATTGCATGCGGAACAGATATAGCAGACATTGACACACCAGTCCCAGACCCAGTTTCTGTGGCTAAATCCAGTAATATTCAAAAATCCGTAGAAGCGGATGATGACACGAATATGTGCGAGGATATTAATATTCAAGAGTGTAAAAATTTCAATCCAAAATTTTCGAATGATGATTTACTTAGAAGATTTCCAAAGAATTCCAAAAGAAGAAATGACACCGAATTTAAAACTCAATTACATATTTTGACTACAGATAAACGAGATGTACGTTGTAGTAGCAAAATTCAAAGAGAATGTGCAGTTGCTAAAATTAATCGCGAAACTGTGGAAAGCAATCAAAAGGGACTGGCGTTAGATCATTCGGAAAAAAAGACGAAACGCCGTAACAAAGGTACTAAAAACAATTTCAAATGTGAGCAGTGCAGTCATAGCTTTGCCCATAAAATAACACTAGACGCTCATATACGTAAAGTACATGAAGGCATTAAACGGCCTTTTCAATGTGATCGCTGTGATAAATCCTATTCTTTCTTTGGTGGTCTATACACCCACATAAAGGAAATACATGATGCTGAGGTGCGATCGTATGCATGCAATATACCAGGATGCGATCGTATTTACACCAGTTTTATTGCTATGGAAAAGCATAAGAGTTTAAAACACACAGATACACCTTGCTTAAAAAAGTATATATGTGAACATTGTGGGGCAACATTTAATCAATCTGGTAATCTCAAATACCACCGTCGCACAAAGCATCCTACGGAAGCGGAACAAGCCGAAAAAAACCATTTGAAAGAACGCTTTGAATGCGATATATGCAAAAAGCATTTTCATTCACGTTACACACTTAAATATCACACCTTACAACTGCATTCGAACGAAATGAAGTATGAATGTAATATTTGTGGTCGCCGTATGGCAAAAAAGTTTATGCTTGTCCAACACATGTTGGTTCATTCTACCGACAAAATGCCATGCAACCACTGTGGTCGGCAATTTATTAGAAAATTCGAGTTGGAGGCACATATTAAAGCAGTGCACATGAAACTGAAGCCTTTCGAGTGCCAATATTGTTTAGAGTGTTTTGCTTCTAGAAAAACTTTACGCCATCATGAATACATACATACAGGAGAAAAACCATACGTATGTGATGTATGCGGGCAGGCATATCGACAGCAGACATGTCTAAAAAATCATCGTAAGTCGCACGAAAATTTACATTCTGATGAGAAGCCCCCACCTGATGTTGGTCAAGCTTTATATAATGCTATCTTGGCTCCGCCTATGCAGTGCCCTAATAAATCGATTGGAAATATTGATAAAAGTTAACTTTGTTAGGTATTAAAAAAATTGCAGAACATTTGTGAAATTCGAATAAAAGCTTCTAGACACTTGGTTGCGGAACACCTGCGATATACAAGAAGTATATTTCCTTTAAATACATATATAATTATTATGTAATTTGAATACATTTAATTTGTTATAGAATAGATTTTATTTACCTTTTAGTAAGAAATTTAGTTAATAATTTTGATACATATTTATGTTTAAAATAAATAAAATGGGTTAAAATTTTTCAACAAACTATGTTTTTGTACCGGCCTCTGAAACTAGATTTGATTTCTTTTCAATAAGCTGTTTATCATTTAAATTTGTGGTGTTTGTAGACCCCATTTCACGTTCTATATAAGTATTTAAATCGTCTAACGGTTTGTAATACATGTGAACTAATTGCGAGCCAGCCATCATTGAAAGCATCGCCGCCGAGAGGAATTTCATATATTGTCCCCAAGAAACACCTGCCGGCATTTTACCAGGTATTGTGCAGCTATCCGTATATTAAGAGAATGTTTCAATTCGCTTGCGATTATGCTGCCTCTTTGGCTGGTGTTTGTACTTCTCCTTGCGAAATATGCAATTTTTCTTCAACAAAATTCTTTGCTTGACGTTTTTTAAATGTGTGGTCTAAGGAATGAAAATAATGAAAAGGGATTTACGAATAATGTATGTTTATTCATATGTAGCTTTAATATCTTACAAAAATTCGTTTCTCCAACGGTCCAGTTAATCATGGAAAACTCCAAAGCAGCTCCGAGAACAAAAAATAAAGGCAGAAATCTGTAGATACCAAATCGCTGCTTACCAGGCCACTTGTCCAAAATACGTCTAATGCTGTTGTTGTAAAATGGCATGTCTAAAAAATTATGTAATGATATAACTTTGGAAATATTTAAGTCAATTACATTTCAAAGACAATTACTGTGTTCGAGTAAACTACCAATATAACTCACTTATTATATCATTCCATGAATAATTGTACAAAATACTATTAACTTATAATTTGGCTTGTTTGATGCAGAAGCAACATTTTACAACTCTAAACAAAAACAGCTGATTTGCTCAGGTGTTCGCTGCTTTTTATAGCGAACGAAAGAAATATAACGCGCAAACGTTTTTGTCTATGAGCAGCTAAATTAGATTTTACATTTTGTTAATTAAATATATTAATTTGTGTATGTTATCCTTGAAAAGAGTGTTTAAATCTCTCTGCCTTTGTTTATTTTTGAAAATCTCTGAAAAAATAAAAATAAACATATATCAAATCGTACCCATATGTTAACACTGTTACCGGCATAACCTTATTAATTTATAGTATGTTTAATAACAAACAGGCGCCATTGATTACTATTGCGAAATTCCTCGACGACAATTTACTTTTAACAGTTCAGTCTCTATTGCTTTGAAAATGTCTACACAGAGTGATGTTAAAATTCCTTGTGATGAAAGAAATGTTGAGATAAAAGCCAGGATTGATAGTGACACAGAATTTGAACGCAGGGTACAAGTAGCGCGCGAACTAACGAAATCAACCGGTGAACTGTTGGAGCAGAGAGACGTATTCTTCAATGTCGTAGACGGTAGTAATGGTGCAAGGTTTAAACTACGTTACCTAAAGTACCCAATGCCTTCGCAACTGATTTACTACGTTCGACCTAATGAAGCAGGACCAAAACTTTCAACATTTAATAAAATGCCAGTAGATGATCCGACATTGATGGAAAAGATCTTGTCGCAGAGTAATGGTGTTAAAGGTGTTTTAGAGAAAAAAAGATACTTATTTATATATGGACAAACTCGTATACATATGGATAAGGTTAAAAACTTGGGCAATTTTATGGAATTTGAAGTATGCCTTCAGTCCGAGCAGTCAATAGAAGAGGGGCAGAGGATAGCGGAGGACTTAATGAAGATTTTTAATATACGCCAAGAAGATTTGATGACAGGTGCTTACTTTGACGAGCTTAATTGAATACAATTTTTTTTTTTTTGAAAAGTTTCACTCCGCTATTGGCATCTTAATGAAAACTTGTATGTCTATATAATTTTGTATTGATAAAAATAAAAACTTGTTTATTATGTATTTTAATGGCATTTTTCTAATCTCTGTGTATAGTTATATGTATATATTTATAAAATAAAAATAATTATTGCATTCACTAAAAGTCTTATCATATTTTTAATGGGCATATGATCACTATACTCTCCTAGCTTTTATATTTAGCTTGATATGTTTTTCTTGAAATCAACTTTTCAAATTTCAAATATGTTGCTTAGTTCAGTTGACAAACTGACGAATTGGTAGTTCAAATGCGTGCTTTCCGTAAGAGGTGTCTAAAATCCAAATAGTTGCCATAATATTCTATCAACACTAATCATACATAAAATCACAGGATTATTACCCTTACGGGATTATCAACACCTACGACTGCATTCCTGACATGAAAAAAAATTGATCATGGCCTAGAATAAACTGTAGGTTCCTCCGTACCGCAATACGGAAATTGTTGAAACAAGCTGAGGTGTTAGGATAAGCAAGTGATGGGAAGAATTAAACACGTGCACGTCCCTCAAAAAGAACTGAGAATATTGATGCTGTATTGAAGGAAATCCAGGTTTCTCCATTCCTTGCGGTTCTTCACCGTATTTTGCATAAATACATGAGTCTCAAGGCTTATAAAGTTCACTTAAAACAAGAATTCAAGCCGTCCGATCATCAACAACGTGGTGTTTTCGCTGATTGGGTCCAAGAAATGCATGAAAACGGAGTGGAGTTTCAATGAATTGTCAAAGAACTGCGCTAACGAGAGATAATTAATGATTTTGTAAGGCCGGAATTGTATGGTATTTACCTGAACAACGTTTACTTTTAATAAGACGGCGCCAGGTGTTACAGAAGCAACGAAACCATCGAACTTTTATGGGAAACGTTTCCGCAGCCAGTTATCTCTCGAAGTGATAAACGCAATTGGTCATCTAGATCTTGTCAGTTTACACATTGCGACTTCTTCCTTTGGAGGTCACGAGAAACAATGTCGATTCAAGACCTCAAATATGGAATTCATGAAGCTATTGAGTGCAGACGGTAGCGACTTTGGCATTTTGGAGAATTTCATAAAATGGTTCTTTTATTTCAAAAAAATGCCCGCTTTCAGAAAATATCAAAATAACACCTCTTATTGGAAAACCCTGTGCAAATTTCCACCACCGCGCCTCTGATATGTTTCTGTTACATATGCAATGTTGAAACGCGCTGTATGTATGTTGTCATTCGCTGCATAGTCACGATAACCGAATGGATTGAGAATAACAGTTAGAATCTCAATACAGGTAAATTCCATATATGCCACGCCAGAATGAACTGGTAGCTGACTAATATGAGGCTAATGTATAGTGGGACACTTCGAAAATAACATGAGAATACACGAGGAAATTGAACTAGTAGTAAACTACTAGCATTCTAGTTAGTTAACAACTTCTATCTTTCCCTGAACGAAAGTTGCTGTTGATTAAAAAAATGCTATTTTAAAATATATTCGCCACAAAACTCTTGCAGCGTACCACGTGTGTATATATGTATATAGATACAATAAATATTAACATATAAATGTTTAGGCAAGCAAAGAAATGATCATCCAACGCTGGAGCGCTGAAATGGAGTTTTCACTTTCGCTAACAAACTATTAGCGCTGGTCACGCAACAATATTAATTTTAGTGGGCGGCACACACACACACCCATACATACACATTAGAATAATAATGATGATATTAATTAATGATGACTCAGGCAGTTTATGTACATAAAACAAATATATGACGTAATGTCAACGAAATCACGCTTGCGACACTTAACTTATTTTTTATTAAAAAAAAAAATCAACAACGTTTGTAAATAAATAAGTGTACACATACATACATGCATAGATACATACATATATATATATATATATATATATATATATATATATATATATATATACACATACATATACATATATATAAGTATATAAATATTTATATATATATATATATGATACATACATACATACATACATATATACATGTATATATGTATGTATGCTTACAAAATGCACATATTTATATTTAATTAATTCCATAAATTTTTTATAGATACATACATACATCTATATGTACATATGTATGTTTGTATATATGAACACTAGCATGCTTAGTAATATTATTGTATGCAGTACTGTATGTAAGAGTATACACATAATTATCTATATACATTATACATACATATATACCAGCTATTCGCTAAGATTTAAATGTAAATATAGTCATAGTGGGTGTGTATGTGTGTGTGTGTGTGTAGCCAAAGCACATGCATACATATGTACATACATAACATAAGTTTGTATAATAGACTTTGTCTGCATCTACGTCGCCGCACTAGCCACTTGTACGGTCGAGTCTTCTCGTCAGCCGTCTTATACCTAGAACAGTTGCATTTTGCTGCTGTGGGTGTTTGGAACTGCGTAAAATTACGGTTTATATTGGTGCTTTTTTCTGGACGAATTACCAAGCCTTTTAGTTTGTGTTGTTGTTGTAATATATACATATAAATAAAATAAATAAATGATTTTTTTAATTCGATGAGCGGGGTTTTACGATTCCATGCAGTAAATAAAGCATTGGAGAATCAAATGTGTTCGATAGTGAAAGTGTCTTAATTTTTCATGAAGAATTTTTCATGTGTTTGTAAAAAAAAACAGTGCTCCAAAAGTTTAGCAGAGGCTGAAATCGAAGGAATTTGAAATTGTTTATTGCGTACTTAGTAAGTAATTTTTTTTAACAGAAAATTTTATTTCACAAAATGCTGTAGTTTTTATTATTTTTGCTGAAATTAATTTTGAAAACACGATACAAAAGACAAGGTAGTTTCACTCAAAATTTTTTCAAAAATAATAATAAGTAATCAATTGACGTAAAAATATGTTTGGGCTTTTACTTTATTTTTGTGCTTGTAGTTTAATTAAAAAAAAATTAAATTTTCAACTTTATAAAATTCAAAAAAATATATTACAAAAAATGGAAAACGTAATCAAACAACAAACAGTAATAAAACGTACTCGAAAAAAACTCAAAGTTTGTATTTTCTGAAATCTAATGGAAATAAAATAATTTTCAGGCGATTTGGCGTTTTTTTGTTTATATAAAAAAAAGTCTGTGTCTGTATTTTTAAAATTAAATATCTTGAAGTTAAAAAGAAAATAAGATATATTATGAAAAAATCTTATTCATTTTGAGTGAAACTACCTTCCTTTTTTGTATCACGATTGAAAAAATATGTAATGCATATTCCATTATAAAAATTTAAATATATGTACTTATGTATAGGCAAATAAAAAAAAAACAATTTATGTAAATAAAAGTTGTGCTCAGTGACCTGATGAACAATAACAATTGTTACAGAATTTAACTGAACTGCGTTCGGTGAGGCTGTAAGCCTTTACAATTTACACCAAGTGGGCGCAATTTTGACATTTGTATACTTCTTACAGACATTTCTCAACGAACACAGCTAATGACTACATGTTAAAGAGTAAGGTAGAGCTAAATTTGTGTTGCGTTGTATTGAAACATGTATGAGCGAGCTCAAACGCGTAACGGGTGTATATACATAGTTACAATATAACTGTAATATGGTTTTTAAATATGTAAGACACGTTTTATTTAACTTAAGCGATGATTGATCATTTGTTAAGCTCGCATAAAGGGAGTAGCTTTTGCCACCATTACTTATCACCATACACTGTCTTTTGTCATGAATCTTCTGAAAAATAAGCTTTGCTCAATGATTTTGTTTCGTTTCGGCGCCATGTTATCGAAAGAATCGAAAAGAAATTGTTATGTTGAAACCGCACAAAGTCAGCGTTATCGTTATTTTTAGCATGGCTGCCTGCTATTATTTAATAGAAAATTGGAATTTTAACGATTTAACATTGCGAGTTAACAATTTAACATCATCAGTTAACAATTAAACATTATCTGTTAACGATTTAATATTGCATGCTAACGATTTAACATTATCTGTTAACATTTTACATTATATGTTTAAGATTTAACATTATCTTTTAACGATTTAACATGGCCAGTTAACGTTTTAACACTATCTGTTAACGATTTAACATTGTCTGTTAATGATTTAACATTGCCAGTTAACGACTTAACATTATCTGCTAACGATTTAACATTGCCAGTTAACGACTTAACATTATCTGCTAACGATTTAACATTGCCAGTTAAAGATTTAACATTGCCAGTTAACGACTTAACATTATCTGCTAACGATTTAACATTGCCAGTTAAAGATTAAACATTTTCTGTTAACGATTAAACATTATCTGTTAACGATTTAATATTGTATGTTAACGATTTAACATTGTCTATTATCGATTTAACATTATCTGTTAACGATTTAACATTTTCTGTTACCGATTTAACATCAACGATAGCTTTTCGTTTTGGATAAAATCTATAACTCTAGATACCCGAGTATAGAGCGCTGTGAGCAGTTCGATACTCGCCCGATACCCCTTCCTTGCTCAACTGCTCAAATGATAGTTTGAAATTTTTCAATTTTCAATTTTTTTGTCAAAAATTCTTTAGTATTTCAATGAGTTTTACACTTTGCAAACATAAAACGAAAATTATAGAAGAAAGTTCTGGGGAAAAAAGTGAAATTTTTTATTCAAAATTCTCGGGTCAAATTACTTGTTTTTATACGCTCTGTCTTACTTGAACTGTGTAGATGAACAAAATTTGTATACCAAATGAAACAAATTACGATTGGGTATAAAAGTTTTTAAATTCCCATAGGTATGTATATACATACATATGTATGTATATTGTTTGAGTTTTATATATAAATAGTACGTTTTTATTTTTCAATATGAGAATTTTCTATTACAACTAATTGATGAACAATTACAAAATCGAATTAATTAAAACGTATGCGCCGTTACGGCTAACGTGAATTTTTATGCTACAAATTGTAGTTGTAGCCTACTGCGAGCGTACTACTGGTGAAATAGAATGTTACTAGTTCTATTCCAACTAGTTCTTCTCGCACAAATTTCTCACTAGTATGAGAAAGTGTGGTATCTATAAATACATACATCCATATATTATATAGAAGAAAGTGCAGTGTCTCAGCATACGAAAAAATCGTATATTTGGTTCGATTTTCTTCAAATTCGGTAGATTTGCGCAGAATTTAATAAGTCGGCGCCTTGTTGAGTGTGAGCTTTTATCCCGAGAAGAACCGATTGCGGACAGTGTGTGAACTGCCAGAATCAACGAAAGAAATATGAGACTATTTCACCACTGCCGCCAAAAATAAATAAAATTGGCTCTGTTTGTCAACATTTCTGAATAATATAAAAAAAAAATAAATAAAAATGAATAAGAAAAATATAAATTAATAACCCCAAATATCATTTTTCTGTAAATAATTTGTCAGTTTACGGTAGTGTGCTGTTAACTAGCGGTGAAATAGTCTCTTACTAATATCGTATAGAGCAAATGGCAATCGGTACGCTCCGATCCTTCTCTTTAATATACGTACTTTGACCTGAGCTAGAGTTATTCGATTTATGTCAAATATACACCGATTTGCCCTAAAACGATTTGGTATTTTGAAGGCAATGTCATAATGCCTTTCTCATAGAAACCCTTATAACTTTTGGGAAATAATTGGACCAATCGACTTTCAGAGGCAATTCTGCACTAGCCACAACATTAGCCGACGACCCAAAAGGCTGGTATGAGGTTCGGACCTTCCTGGCCGTGAATTCTGGCTTGAAGAGCATTTATGGCGGATCACTGCTCTTCGTTTGACGTTGCTGTAGGTGATCCACTTTTCAGCACCAGTCACCAATCGCTTCAGAAGTGGTTAGGTTTTGGTATGATTCAGCTGCGTTTCGCAGATGGAAATTCGGTTCATGAAGTTTTTTCTCGTTAACCATTGGTGAATTGTTCAAATAAATGCTTGTTCGAAATTTTCGAACAAATACTCCTACATATGTACATACAAACCTACCGAAATAAAGAAATTATCTAATGTCCTTTATTTACTCAGTACTTCACAATTCAATTACAGTGCACTTTAATATTTACAATCACTTGCATAAACTTTCACAATTTACTTTACTTAAATGTAATCTTCAACGCGTTTACTTTACGACTCTATACTGATGTTGTCGCCAACGAGTTCACTTTGTAACTGACTTACTTGGCAGCTGAGTGTCGCCCTTATATAGCAGTCGGCTGTTCGTAGACGAAAGTGTAGAATAATCGAGTAGTTCGATATCGAAGGTTCTCGTTTTATCGCTCTAGAATGTACTAGTTATCGGCTTCTCTCGTTCATCTGACTTTAGCCGCGTATTTTCGCCACAATATAATAAAAAATAATCAAAATTTGCTAATATTGTACAAAAAACTCAAAAAATAAAAACGAAGCGCTAACTGGTCGAAAATTTTTGCTTAATCAGCATTGAAATGTTTTTGATAACTTAATTGCATAATACGGCATTTCCACGACAGCCCAATTACGTGTTTCGCTCACTCAATTACGAATGCGAATGACCTACCCCCATACACACAGCACGCAGTTTGACAGTTTTCGGTTTCGCTTGTTTGTTTCATTTCAAAACGTATGGAAAATTAAAGGTTTTAGTAGAAGTTAAAAAAATTTTGAATTGAATTGGTATTGTTATGCCAGTTTCTTTAATAATTTCTAATTTTCTTCTTTGGTTTCAAATCAATGCTTTTGCATTAGTATCGACTTTTATGATGATTCTACTGTCTTTTGTTTTGATTTGTCAGCTGGTTTCGATAAAATTTCGATAAGAATTAGAGACGGCATCGATTTGGTCGTAATGCGCGTGGCAATAGAGAACAAATTACCCACTTTTACTTTAATTCGCTCACAAAAATTTGTATGGCGAATTATATAATTCAGCATGTATGTGAGAATTACGATTGAGAGAGCGTCGGGCTGTCGTGGAAAATGCCATATAAAAGCTCTTTTTTTAATAAAAACCTTAGTTATGTAGATCTCTTATTAGGTACTGTTTGGGCCAAACTTGCCTTCTAATTTATAATCTCATTGATTCTACCATTCATCCCACAGATCCCAGATGGAATTACGCCAAAAAGCGCTTAAGCGATTATAAAACCCCAAACGCTTTGGATAATTATGATTTTATTTCATGACATGCATGATGGATTGCGCTATTTTGAACATATGGTCTGATTGCGATAGAAAAATTTTAGACCACATACATACATAGATCATGACATGTACAAATCATATACGAAAATTTCTGATTAATGTTCAGCGCAAAGATAAACGTCATTATTTTCAAAAAAATGCCCTTTCGCTGTTTAAAATGTGCAATATGGTACGTGTGTGTGTGTGTAATGTGACTATATAATAATACAAATTGGCGCTTTGTAATCACTGAAGCGATTTTCGGCCGAGCTCCTCCTCCAATTTGTGTCATTACAGTTTATATTAAAGCCGCCTCCGAACGGCCGATGGCGAGTTTTTATGGGTAGCTTTAATTTTCATGTTCGAAATAGACTCGGAGAGCTTGACATTGCCGGCTGGGAGGCGAACGCAATTAGAAAAATTACTTTTTTTTAATTCTGGATGTTGGTTGGACACGGGCTCGAACTTGGTGTTCGGGTATGGTAGTACGCAATGCTAACTACTCGACTATTGTGGCCGCCTAAATGCATTAAATTAATTACAACTGTGTACCGTTTGTT